TATCGCAATATATGGGGGCATGCGGTGGAAATGCATTCAGAACCGCGTGAAACATCTCTTTTATTGTAACAACGAGACCAACCATAAGCCTTAGGCCAGGCAGTAGGAATTCCAGGGTGCACGAGCAATTTTATTTTCCGCGGAGTTCCTGCCTCCGCTCCTAGGCTCATTCTTAGAGGAAGCCCCCGTATCTTGCGATAGCGCCTGCTCTCTGTCGAGTGATTCACATTGGTTGAATAGTGTTGTGATGTCGACGGTGTCTGAGTTAATGCTACGCTCAGGCTCGCGCTATTCTCAGAAGTCCACCATACACGCCGCCGAGCAGTCGTCACCGTCCTACGACGAGAACACCCAAACCAGCATCTCCTATCGCGGTTCGGAGATCAGCGTGTTCATATCGCCGACGCCGGTCGTCACTGTAAGTCTTGCTCTCTCGGTTTTCACCTGATTGTGAGCCACGTTCAATATGAAGGTAGTGGAAGAGAGGGAAATGGTCAAAATTTTGAGCAACCACTTTATTAGTGGCCTGATGTCGACGAGATCGTCTTCCTCAAAGGCCTAAACGTGGCTCAAGGTTTGAGAAATGTCCTTTAAACCGCCAAACGCCTCCTCTCCCTAGCGTTTCTGACGGAACGTTAAGGCGAATAAGCGAAAACCCACGAACGAGGGAAATAATTTCATCCGGTCTTAAAAGGCCTAAAGGACAACTCTCAAACCTTGAGCCACATTTAGGCCTTTGAGGAAGACGATCTCGTCGAAACGTCAGGCCACTAATAAAAGTCTCCACCTAACAACCTCGTTGGCAGAAGAATAACATCATAATTACAACAATGCCGAGGTTCTACGAAGAGAGAAGTTGGAGTTTGACCAACCTCCCAGATTTTTAATTTTTGGTCCAAAATCCAAAGATGTAAGACCAAATGTGTTCAGGTACATGCGGACTACGAGCCGCAGTGCGGGGGCAGCTGGCGGTCGAACGGCAAGGCGAGGACCCGGGCCGCTCGTCATGCTCTCATCGATTCGTCGTCGGACCACAACCTCGCCAGGGTGGTTGCCAGAAGCGGTAGGAGTCGTCTCTGTGTAGCTCCATATTCCTCAATGAAGGAAAGCAGCAACTTTTGTGTGGAACTCCAAAATTCACCTTTTTGCAGGCTCATGGAGGGACGAGAACGCATGGCCAAGCAATACATGGAATTCTAAGAAGCGCACTACTGTCTACGAAGGAATGAGGGAGAGCGTAGCCTGAACAGTACTGCTCTCCCGTTTTCATTTTTCATACATCCGCTGCTTCCAATCGAATCGATTGCCCTTTTGAAGAGTTCAAATCGATCTCATTTCACATGTAAATTTTACGGGTGCATATTACTAATAAATGCTTTTTTCCTTGTTCCACTGTCTTACGGCGTAAAAAAATAACGTAAGACGCCGTACGATTGTCCCTCTCTCAGGATGAATAACGGTCGACGAATTCTTCGACCATGTCTCTGCACTGTGCGAGGACTGCCGAGAGTGAACGTACGCGCGGAGGGCACAGACGGCTCGCACATACGAGTGTGAATGTCGGCGCGGGGAACGTGATATTGAAATTCAGGGAAAACCTCTACGAGCTGTTGATGAGTCCTCGACTGTTATTCACCCTGCCCTCTCTCTCCCGAAAACTTGACAAAATCCACTCGCAGGAATTACTCCCAAAAGGCTACCTTCGCTCTTAGCGGGATGGACTTTTTGAAAGTGAAAAAAAAACATTTTCAGAAAGATTCGGAGCATTGGCAGCCGTCGAAAAAGCCAACTAGGGGCTACAGTAATTAGAAACGAGCGGAAGCAATCCACGGAAATTTCTTGCAGTAATTATCACATACAACAATGAAAAAGAATTCAAATGGGACAGGCGTCATAACAATTCATAATTGCAGTTTTTGAGATATTCAAGATTAGATGTTGGGGAAACC